TATGGAACGACACGAAACTCACCATTCGAAGGAAATTGCGCGAATAGACGCTCTAGGCATTTAGGAAAAATAAACCGGGCTCATAATTTAAAGTTTAGCCCATCACAAAGTTACCCGCTCTGGGGCAAGCAATAAAACTTATAATCGTTTATAAAATAAAATAAAATAATTAGAAAGCGCTTAGACGAATCAAAACAATTTTCACGCTTTAATTGGTCCATTTCAAAGCTCTTTGAGGCATTTTTCTGTCAACATGTCGTCATAATTTGTAAGAAAATAGTTTAAATTTTGAATTAGAATGAAAATATATATTTAAATTGTGTGAAGAGATTCATTTTCAATTTGCGTACATCACAATACTCCCCGTCGAAAAGTGAAAAATGTTACCGAAGACTTCATACGAGCTCCAGTATTTTCACCGTTATAAAAAATAAATTATGCATGGCTTAATTTTGACGGAAACAATAAGTGGAAACGAGAATGAGCGTATTAGAGTGGCTTTTCGTGGGCAGCTGTAAGTGGGAATCCTGTGTTTATTAAATAACGATAGAGATTTTGTTGCAATCAGCGCGAAGGCCCAGTGAGTCGGTTAAAAGAATGATGATTGGTTTCCTAGCAATTTGAGAAAGGGAAACATTCAGTAAATAAAGCATGATAAAAGCGTTTTTTCGGTTGAATGGTGTTAAATGCTTTTGAAGGCGAAAATTGTGCGTCCGGCCCTGTAGCGTTCGACCGGTAGGGCATCAGGAATAGCGGGAATGTCGCCCAGACCGCATCCGTTGGACTATGCCGTAATTAAACGATTTGTTCGCTGTTCCATTCGACAACCGTGTTCATTAGGTCGATTAAGTTGTTGGGGTCCGTGCGATGCGATAGATACAATTACACACGACACATATGCACCCCCGGGAAGGGGGCGGCCGACCGCTGTCCGGTGCCGCTGTGACACGGACACCATAGGTATGCACTGCTGACATCTGTGCCTAACTATTTTGTAGATGATTTAATTATATGGGAGCTTCCGCTCCGATACCGTGTTTGCGGGAACGACACCGCCAACGGTGCTCATCTACCTTATGGTGAGCCGCATCCACGTATGCTGCGTGGCCGTCGCGCTAATTGCATCAACGCGATTTCATTATAGAGCGCAAAGTGAAAAAAGATGTCGCCGAGGATCATGTGACTGTCTGCTTGATTATACTAAAGTGTCTTCGAAGACTGTCCTTGTGTAAACACGGTTTTAGGTTCATCCTTGCCGCTGACGTTGGTCGTGATTGATGTGCTCAAACTGAAACTGAAACTGAAACAATCATTGCCTTAGGCTTGAAGCTCCCAAATCTCTGCGAAATAATAAAAACCGAATAAAGTTTCATACACCAAAGAACAGCCATCGAAGCGGCGAACGCAAACAATCTATTTTGCAAAAATGTATTTTGATAATATTTAAACGAAAACAATCTGAAATATTCACGACTCCACAAAGCATATATTTTTTCCCATTTGCACACCTAACGGAACAAAATGTTCAAAAACTCTCCAACTTTACATATAAGATGAAAAGTAAATATAGCGACTGGAAAAACATATCACTGATCAGTCCCTACTTTACTATATCGGTTTTGAACGGGAAAGCTTTGTCTTTTATAGGATAGAAAATTTGAAACATGCACAGGTTAAACTCGGCTCGCCACAACACTCCCCACTTTAAAGTAAAATTTAATTTTAGGTCATTCGTTTGCAATATTTATTCAATCAAGTTTGCTGTGTGTGTGTGAGGTAAGGGTTATTTTCTTCTCGTTACAAAATTTGAGTCTGCGAATAAATTCGATAAGCATTCGGGCTGTATGGAGTATCGATGATTTTTTCGACATAAAAAATTGTTAAAGCGATGAGATGTAGGCAGCGCTATAAAAACGAGTTTACCAATTTCATTTGACATAAAACTTTATGTTCTCTCTCAATTATCAGTATTCAAGGCAGGCAGAAGGAGCGGTAAAAAGAAAGAGAAACAAAGGCATTTATCAGGCTAAGTAGCTTTGCAAAGTCGAACCATTAACTGTTTGTAGTCTGGAAGAGGCGTATGTGGGTCCACAGTAAAAACGGCTCAGTTGCACACTCAACTAATGCAATTAATTACTTTTATAGCACCAATTTTTTTAATTTAACAGGATTAATTTTCGACGGCTCGAAAAGCCCTTGAATTTTACTCAAAATAAACTCTAACGTAAAAGGGTGCTTTTTGAACTAACCAACTTTAGAAAGGATTTAATCTCTTTATGATAAAGCATTTAGGTACTAATAATAAAACCACGAATCGAACGAATTGACCACCCTTTTCAATTACTAACTTTAAACGCGCTTCTCAAAAATCTACCCCATTCTGTTCGGTTATTGGATTAGGCGCACCACGTTTGAAATTACTCTTGGAGACTCGGGTTTATACACTTCGTAGAAATTTTTTAAGAGGTCATGGATTAATAGGGATCTGGTCCAAAAATTCACGACCTCGCAAGAAGCGAACCGCACAATGCAAAACGTGCCGAAGGGACCACAGAGAGATTTTTCGCCGGCATAGAGCTCATATGACACACGATCACCTGTGAAGCTCCAACCCACCGTTAATATAAAACAACGTACAGTAGAATCCAAACTATAATGAATTTGGTACATTCGCTACTCCAATACAGTATTCGTACGTTATTATAATTGCATTGCAGAGATATAACTTTACTACATGCCATACGCATTACAGCGTCATGTAGCTTTTAATATTACAAATTAGTGTAAGTAATATCACAGTAACATATCGATCTGTTACAGTAATAAATCATTCGTATTATTTTAACTTGTATGTGATATATTAATGTAACGTAAAAGCATTGATCTTTTACTTGTGAACTTTAAAGCTTGATGTATATGTTACGTATCTGTTGGACGTGTAGTTTGCCGTCTGTAAAATGCTTATTGATTTTTCTTAGTCTGATTAGTTTTATGTTTTAAGGCGCAGTAAAGTTTTAAGAATTTCGCCAGAATAAAGAGCATTCTTTGGTTCATTGAGAAGATCAGACTTTTAGCAGATGGGGTTAATGGACTCATTTAGAGCCCTAATATATTATTTAAATACTACCTTGCTTTAATTGCCATTCGAATTGAATAAGGATTAGTCGTATAAAACAGCACCTGCAACAATGCTTAATAATTTAGCTGAAATAAAATTTAGACACGTTGAGTTAATGGGTAATTTGAGAATTAATACAGCTAGTTCTCTCGTACTACATCTACACGTAACTGTGTAGTTATCTGGCGCGGTGATTTGTTACGCTGAACAGTAAAATCGAACATCATTTTACGAATTAATGGTATAAATTGAAATTAAGTTTTAAAACGAAACGAATCAATAAATTTTACGAGTTTGTTTTTATTCACGATGTATATCAGCATATAGCCGGATTAAAGGCAATTTGTGCCATATTTTTTTGAGACCAGGTCGTAAATGAACTTTTTGAATATTTTATCATCATGTACGTGTACACTTTTATTAAAACATTAGTAACGAAAGCTAATAAAGCGACAATTGAATTTTGTAATAAATTTCGGCAGATAAATTCCGAAATGGAGGGATGAAAACACGGACAGTTGCAGATTTTAACGACAACGTCGTTCATTTCATCGAGTAATGTTCTTAGAATTTTAATAAATAAAGAATTAAGTGACCATAAAACTTTTACAGCTTCGACAACAAAAAAAACTCGGTCATCAAAACATAAGTTAAGAATAGACCACACAAGCAGGTATTTTGGAGTTTGGACGTTTCGATGCATTTAATGGTAGTTTTACAAAGGCTGCTGGTTGTAAATAATTGCATAGAAAGCAGAAAGTTTTTAAGAATGGAGGAAAAAAATAAAGATTCCTTAATTATATTTTCGAGGCCATGCCACGAGCAAACATTTTTTCGAGGTTTGATCCCCGGTTAATTATTCGTCTGGAAGATGAATCGGTAATACAAGTAAATTATGGTTATCGCACAAAAGATAAAAAAATAACAATTACTTTACTGAAACATGAAATGAAGTCAGGCTGTCCGTTTTTAAATAGTGTTTTTATCTCGCTCAAAAAGCTCCAAGCGCCTCAGGCTATTAAGATCTTGAGAAGTTAAAGTACTTTTTCATTTCTCTGGTTTCGTGTATAATTTCTTATAAGTATAAAAGTATCAGGCAACAAAATAAATATCTTCTGAAAGTTTTATGTTGGAAGTTAAACCATGCAGAATTTATTGATGGTAAAATAATCTTCAAGGTAGCAAAAACAATGCACAAAAGCACTAAAACTGAAAACAACATCAAAGCCTCTTTGAACCATACTAATTACAAATATTCAAGCAGAACAAAATAATTTCGGTAGAGATGATTAATGGCAAGATTTCAATTGAGAGAAATACTTAAAATAATGACAGCGTGAAATAGGATGAGCTTCAAGTGATAATTAAGTAGCGTAAAACCCCACCATTGAATGCTCATCCTCTCAAATTTGGTATGATAAACGTGTACGCAACTTCACGCTCAGTCTCTTATACCCTTTTGAATCAAACACCGTGAAAAAATGGAAACAATTATAGTTATTTAACGTTGTTTGCACAAAAACTCGTTTCGCATTATTTACGCAAGCCGGTTTTTAGTTTTTACTTTTCCGTACATCACAACACTCCCCGCCGTAAAGTAAAATAAGTTAGAAAAGAAGTCATTTTGGCGGCGCTTAACCTCGAAACGACGTATGTAATGAAGCGAATTGTGACTGTGGCCACGTTTCGTGCTCTTTTTCTTACCGCAGCTCTGTTAATTATTTTTTGTCAATATTATTCATGCGGCGATATTTTTCAAGACACAGCTTACAGTGTGACGGCCTCCTTTCACATCGGTTGAGAAATGATAAATGACACTGTTAGTAAACAATTTTTTATTGAACACAACAACACTGCATTGATTTTGTTAAAGCCGCAAACAATTGGGCGTAACAGTTTAAATAAATTACTAAAATTTATAGTGGCGTCACATCAGGCGTCATTCTCGGTGCAATACGAGGAATTTTGCGCTGACGAGATGACGGCATATCGGTCGGGATGTAAATTCTGTAAGTACCAAGTATGCAAAATAAAAAGTTGTAGCGCCATTAATCACGAGGTAAAAGCCGGAACAAGGAGGTAAAGTGTTTATTACGAGGAAAATGTGATTGCTCTTCTGCTGTAATTCCAGAGAACGAGTGGAGGCATTATCATGTGCGTGCAATGCCTGTAAAGAAAAACTACTTAGAGAAAAAACCGTTCCGGAAACTACTTTTCAGTTAATGATATTGTTTTTGCTCGAAGACTGGAAATGGGATTTTTGCTCTTGCTCTTAAAACCGACGAGTCATTTTAATTGTGGTAAACAGATAAATTTGGCGATATTTGAAATAGTTGCATTGGTTTTCGTGGTGTGAAATATGAGGGTATTAAAGTTAAATCAAAACAGAACAGATGAGTTGGCAGGGTAAAAGCTGCTAATCAATAAGCGCAAGAAAGCTTCTTGGTGGGATGTTTTTTCGGTAATTATTTCCATTAATCAAAGACGAAATCTTTATTACTGACATATTTTGATATAACGGGTTGATTTATCAGCTGGGTTGAAATTTCCGGTTGAATCCGGCGGTTGCTTAGGAAATGTTCGTATTGTGCAAGTTGAATCTGCAACTTGATACTTTTAAACATATATATCTGGAGATGGCACGAGGAATCGAAAAGCATCCATTTGTCATTCGGGATGGCGCTACTCATGATATATGTCGGCATTCCAGGATTTATTTATTTCTACACTACACTTCTGGAAGTCTCCTTCATTTGCAAAATCGCGATCTAATTAAAGTTCACGAGCTTTTAGCACTGTGAGAGCTTTCGGTTTGCTGTTAATTCGTTTTCCCTAATTATAGGGAATAAATCTCCTCTTTGATAGTTAGCCGAAAAAGTTTGGCCGAATTGCAAGTCGCATTAAACGACCACTAAGTCTTCATTATCGTACAAACGCTGGAATTATCTTATTGTTAAGAAGCCAAGATTTCTAAGTGAGACCGCAACGTCTTATTTATCAGACATGTAATCTCGGAAGATGGACACAAACAAGAAAATCGCTCAAAAACTCTCGGAATCCTACAGCTAAACCTGAAGCGGTAGAATACACTAAATATAGCATCATTTATTTCTATTTAAAGAATGTCTAGTAAAAAAAAATTCTTGGTATCTCACAGTACGCCGAATACGAAAACGCAATCACGCGAGGGAATAATTATTCGGTCTATAGTGATTTTGTAACGATTAAAGTGTTTTCGAAAAAGCTAAAATTATGTTTTCGATGGAACTTCAAAAAGTATTAATGATTTAGTCCAACGTCGTCTGCTTCTACAATAAACACATTAATGGTGTCACCATCGACATTTTTAGCGCCTTGGCAAATATATTCCACTTCTAATGTAAACACTAAAAAAGGAAAAGACTAATGGACACAACTTTTTCAACAAACTCAACAAACTTCGTAAAACTTGGAGATAAAATAGAATTAAATAAGAAAATGCTTTAGTTTCAATCTTTCAACGTACTTTATCGAAACCTCTTTCTATCCCTTGTACACAATACCCTTGGGTATTTCCATTTTTCTTCTGAAGCCGATTAAAAAAGCTACACTCTAACTTTAATAAAAGAATTCTGTTATTGACCTTTAATTACAAAATAACTCCAGAATGCTACTGTAATTCAACAAACACGAACGAAACGGGTTGCAAACAATTGAAGTTTTAAATTTTAATTAAAATTTTGTTCTCAATTTACACTGTAATTTATCCGCATTTTATCATTTAATGGTACTTATGTTCATATCCACAATTTTACAGGAAAATAGTATTTCACTAATTTATCGCATTGTTAAATAATGTTGACGTTCTGCGAAGGCTAAAATCAATCATGATACAGTATAATCAATTACGTTCAAATTGTATGTCAGCGAAAATTCAAAAACATCATGCATTTCATCCATTAAATTTAAAAATTAAAACGACACTGTTGATATTAAACTGAAAATATATTGACATTGGGTTAATTATTTGTGACACAGTACAACCACAAATCAATCGAATGTGAATCTTAATCACCAAAAAATTTAAAATAATTTAAAACGCATACTACAAAAAAATATCACTTGTGCACTACAGTCTAGTACTATTATGTGAATTTTTGATGACTGTAAAAAAATTGTACAAAAAAGTGAAACAATTTCTTTAAGGATAGAAAGCTCTAGCATTAATTTGTTATTTTCACAAAATTTACAAAAAAAATTTCCGTATGCTTAATGAGCTACCAGCAACGTGAGCAGGTTACTAACTCCAGGGGATTAAGAAGTCTGATTTATCTAGCTCACGTTTAACCTTAAAATCATAGTTAAAACTGTTCACTAAAAGGCTTTTTTCATTTTCGAACGTGTTGCGAATGAAATAAAATTATAGTAACTCGTGAGTTCTAAACCTCAAATTTCCATTTACTACGGAAGCAAACAATACATTTTTCCGACCTTGTTACATTTAAATACCCAGCCGTAAAATACTTAGCCTTGGAAAACCCAGCGTAAATTTTCACCGATTTTTTTTATTTGAACTTCCTAGATCTCCGCCATTATCTCTATTGTCTTTGAAAAGTAATAAACCCTCATATCTCTTGTTGACAGAGTCTGTCACGACAAATTCGTAGCAAACACGATACTCTGTTGTAATCTCTCCCAAATTTTGTTCGAGCAAATAAAGCTAGTTGTTCCGTCGATACCTAAAAAGAGAACCGGAGTGAAATTTACGAAACAAAGTCTAATCAAAGCTCGAACTTAGCTATTCTGTCGAAACTCGACTCACGTCCCACTTTTACAGGTGTAGAGATCGTTAAGGTCGTCTCAGCGATGTTCTATTTCATACTTTAACGTTCGATGTGCAGTCGTAACATCCTGATCATCGTCGCTTCCAATTGATTTGTCCTATGGGCAATGTGCTCATACTAGTTTGCATGTGTCATAATCAACACTAACACAAGTGCGAATTAATATTGACTGTTAGTTATCAGCGGTAACTGATCTAATATACATACATATATTTCAAGTTGCATAAACCCGGCTGCAGCGAGATTCGTAATATACATACCACTGCCATCCGTTCAATAACTTCGGTCAAACTGTATCAGCAGTGCTTGTCAAGTGTGACTGACATGCATCCACACAAAAAATTACTACCGTATCAAAGTTTAGAACAAATATAAATTGAAATTTATAACAATGTTATTTTGTTGGACGTTTTAATCTATAGTAATCCTTACGGGTTTCTCAAATATAGTCAACATTTATCTTATGTTAGATGTGTAAACAAATAATACACACTTCGTAATATTGTATTGTCTGGAAGGAATGTATTACAACAGTACCACACCAAGTGTAAATATTAACCGATGTTTCTACTGAGGATCAGACACACCGTGCTGCCATTTGTACGACTATGATTAATTTTATAAAAATTAATTTTTTTTTATTACTCAATAATAATAAAAAATGTAATCAGATTAGTTGCTTGAGCATTAAATGTATACCAGTGCTCTTGTATTTCAAAACCTACATAAATGTGGTTTAGGTGTCTATTTAAATAATTGCAAGCGTGGACAGTGCGGGTGACATTTGCGAAAATGGGGTCACAAAAGTTACTAAAACCAGACAGTCGTTTGTGGGTTTCAGGGTCGGCTTCAAGGTGGACACTATCAAGTTGAGTCTTCTGTAATTCTCCTCACTCGGATGAATTAACTCAGACATAATCATTTTTCAATGTAAAATATGGAGCAATATAAAAATACTCTCAGTGGTCCTTCATCATCTATACAGAATTACTTCGCACATATTTTGCAAAAGCGGCATTCATTGTAGTTTCATTTTACGACCACTTTGCCTATGCTAGTCACCGTTTTCATATTTTAGCCACTTACGCAGGGTTAAAAATCCTCATATGACTTGTTTACTACTTTCGTTCCACAATAAAACTCCCAAAGCCTTTTCAGAGTGGCGCTCTGACGAAGACGGCCCCTACCAACCTGGCCATCTTTTGTGTTCATAATTTGTGCGTAAACGCAAATATTTATTTTATTTACTTAAAACTGTTTCGCTGGAAATAAATAGCGTTTTTCCCAGCATTGTTACAAGAAATATTTACACTGTAGTCGCGTTCAGACGTTCGAAAGCAACTCTGTAATTAGCCGCTTTTTTACCGACCATTACATGGAAAAATCGTCCCTTTGAATTTGTAATTCTGCTAAATACACGGCTCTTCGATAAATTTGGGGGAATTTAGGTCACCGAGGGCTGAATTAAAGTGCAAGTAAGAATTTTCTCTGTTCGCATTTTTAAATTACACTCTAAATGACATGCATTAAATTTGAGGTCTTAGTGTGTCATGAAAAAAATTGTTAATGTGTTGACGCTGCTGACAATGGACAAGAGAGGTTTTTGAACCGAGCGCACCAAAGATGCTAAATCACGGTTATTTATCAACATTAAAGCAAATTTTATATTACAATTTTTTGCGTTTCGTACTTTTAATGCATTTCCGCTGTTTGTATGTAATATTTAATTTAATGTTTTATCGTACTTCCTTGACATTGACTTTCATGCATTAATGTCATTTTAATAAATTCATTAATTTGTGAAGTGGAAATTCTATTTATGCAAAAGTAGGTCTTCCATTTCCATATGTCTACCGTCTGTTGAGGTTAAATTAGTTCAGTGTTATACTATATATTTGATTAGTGTTACATTGTACATAAAAATTTATATATAGGTGAGTCATTAAGTGTGGATTCCTCAATATCTCACTAATGATTATAAATAGAAAAAAACTCAAAAACCAAACTTAGTTCTTTTTAAATTAAACACCCTATATATCTTTGCATATTTTGATTGACCTCTTCTTGAGTTTTTTTAGGAATGGAAGGGTTCACAAAAGTCACAGAGGACCGTGCGTTTAGTGACTCACCTCCATCCTGATGACGTCATTTCAAAATTTTAACTACTCTGGTGTATTTTGTGTAGACCAAGTTCTGTTCATGGCATATTCATAAGCATCTGTTTTAAATGAGCGCCTTCAACAAAAACTACTTTTGAGTAGCGATTTTTATTTAAGTGTTTTTAAAACAAGCGTTTAGTTAAACGCTCTTCCGTCGAAGCGCAACTACAAATTAAAAAAATTAAAATGCCATAGGGAAAATTATTCAAACTATCTTCTTCCTGCGTATGTTGTCATTAAATACATATTTAGAATTTTCAGTGATTGCGCGTGCCATAAAAAATGAACGATTTTGTGACTTAAGTTGTCATTGTTAGGTTTTTACTGAGTTATCGTGTTATATGCGCAGATATGAACTGGTAATGAGTTTACATTTTTTTTTTAAATTTAGTTTATTACCCATTATTTCATACGTACGAAATGCAACAAAATAAAACGATTTTATGACCAAAGCAACATACACTTAACCGTTTTCCGATAAGAAAAATTCTTAATGGACACTTAATCTTAACTGATAATAAAATAACAATATCAAACTGTTTGCGAAAATAATCAACGTCTTTTGCTTTGCGAATAAAACTGTCTCGGTAGTTAGTCACTGATAACTACCAAGCTAATAAAACATGTTAATTGGCGATTCATAAATGGTTTTATGATAACTCAACTTAATACCTATTCTACATGTTTCACCATTTCGTGCGTACATATGTCAAACAATTTCCAACGTTTATTTATTACAATTGATTACTTCCTCAAACAATGAATTCTAACCATCGTAGGAAAGAAGCCTGTTTTCTCGACGCATCAGTGAACTGACAAAATGGTCGAAGACAACGTGATCGACGTCGACACCATGCTATGGCACGTCGGAGACTTCGGAAAATATCAGTGCATTCTGATGGTTTTGTTCAGCGTGATTAACATCTTATCAGCCTTCCACTACTTCGGTCAGACCTTCATCGGCGTGGTGCCCGACTACAAGTGCAAACTTTTGCTGGACGAAGACCCGCGCTACTTGGAAGCAGGCACGTGCTCCTACAAAATATACCAGAACGAAAGTGTTCAAGAAATACCCTGTTCGAATGGCTGGAACTACAGGAACAGCTACGGATACGTCAGCATCGTGGAAGAGGTTTGTACACAACCCCACTTTTTAAATTTACAAATTGTCTAGTACAGCTCAACTGGGTGTGCGACGACGACTGGAAACCGGCGCTTGGCCAATCAGTGTTCTTCATCGGATCGGTCATCGGGACCCTCGTGTTTGGAATTTTGGCTGACAACATCGGGCGACTTCATGTTCTGGTGGCCGCGAACATGTTCGCGTTTGTTGGCAACATTGCCACGTACTTTGCCACGAACGTCGAGGTTTTTGCCGTTTGTAGATTCGTGGCGGGGTGTGCCACAGATGCTAACTTCGTCATGATGTATATTATTGGTAAGTTTAAGAGATTAAAACTAGAAAATTTACGCTACTTAGGCTCAGTAGAACTCAGAGTGAAAGAAAATCTAATGATATTTTCTTTTTCTTAGTGATGGAATACATACGACCAAGTATGAGAACCTTCGGGCTAAATCTTTGTATTGGCGTTTTCTATTGTTTGGCGTGCATGGTGGTACCGTGGGTGGCCGTTTTGTTGCAAAACTGGAAATTCCTTCTGATAGTCATTTCAGTACCACATCTTCTGGTTCTCTTTTTCTACCTACTGGTACCAGAAAGTGCCCAATGGTTAATTAGTAAAGGGCGCACAAAAGATGCCATTCATCACTTTCAGTGGATCGCCAGAGTTAACGGGAAAAACGTCAGTAGTAAACATTTCGAGGCTTTGGAGCGGTACTATTTTCAACATGTTAGCCCTACAACTACGAACGAAAGTTTCTTAGGACTTCTGCGCACACCCAAACTTCGCAGGAAAACGCTGATTTTGATATTCAAATCGTAAGTATATTACATACTAAGTTTGTAACAAACTTTTCTTTTTGTTTTTAGAATGGTTTTGACTCTATGTTATGACGCCATCTCTAGAAACGTCAACGGTGCAGGATATTCGCCGTTTCTCGTTTTCACGATTACTTCAGCTACTATTCTTCCGGCATGTTTGTTCATTCTATTAGTTCAAGATCGCGTGGGACGCAAGGCTTTAGCTAGCGGCGCCCTTTTTCTGAGTGGCATTTTCACCGCCAGTTCTGCTATTGTTCAAGTTTTTCTTCCAACGCCTAGTGCGACCCTAATTGTGGTATTGGCCATCATTGCGAGGCTTGGTATCAACGTGGCTTACAATTCCGGTCACCAGTATGCTGTTGAATTGATACCCACGGTGGTGAGAGGACAAGGGGTTGCAGTTATCCATGTCCTAGGGTACGCCGCTAGTTTTTTCAGCCCGCAGATTCTATACCTAGCGAATATTTGGAAACCAGCACCTGAAGTCATTTTAGGAGTGTTGCTGGTTCTAGGCGCTGTCGCTTGCTTGTTTTTACCAGAAACTTTAAATCGGACTTTACCCGTGACGTTGCAAGATGGCGAAGATTTTGGAGAGGATGAGAAAATTTTTGAGTTTGCTTGTTGTAGAGCACCAACGGAAAGTACCACGGAACTAACAACTGGAAACATGCGCACGTATATGTAATTTGTAATTACAAAAGTACTAGCTAGAAGGTTAAGAATGACAGAATGTTCTGAAAGTACAATTAGGGTTAGTAAAGGTGATATAATATCGTATATCGTAGATTTGGTTGTTTTTTTCGTGTCATTAAGACTGACTACCGCAAATGTTGCATGAAACCTGAGACTTTTGTACTCAAACCAAAACAAACTTTTTGTATTTTGTCTTTTATTTTAGGTCTCTCCCTCAGTAATTTATGCAGCGGAACATCAAGCGAGCTTCGGAAATTTCACGCATTCCCCACTTTAAAAATTGTCAAAACATTTACCACATCTGCAGAAGAATGACTTGCTATAAATACAGTTCCATTTTTACAGCTGTTTGGATGGAGGGCGCGGGCTTCAAAAGCCAGAATGAAATAAACAACAATTAACATAATAGTAGTAGTAATAACCGCAATAATCTGTGAATAAAACTGGCGACTGGAGCGGTGTTCAGGGAGCGAATTCTGAAACGTTTTCACTGTGCATTTTGAGAATAATGGTTAATTTTAGAACTACTAAAACATTTCAGCTTTTGGAACTTTCGCTTCGGAAGCGCCATTGTGATCCAGCATTTCGTAAATCGGAATCGCTTGTTAACATGAAGTTTTTGTCGTAATTATAATATAATTGAAATATAAAACATAACAGAAAGTTTGTGGAGGGTGGCAGGCCTGTTTCCGCCGCTAAATGTGTTTGTTTGGTGAAAGTGTATGGAAGTTATTTCAGGAACAGCGTGTTTGAAGTGGACGTTTTTCGGTCCGTTCAACTTGATTGTTTACCTGTTTTTGTTTAAAAATGTCTAAAACTGCTTAACCGGATCTTAAAATTCGCCCAAATAAACCGTCACCTTTTGCTTGTGTTGCCGGGACGGGAATAAGATAAATTCCAGGAGTAGGAACAGCATTCATGTGCTTGTCAAAATAAGTGGAGTGTAGGCAATATATTTTTCCCTAAGTTCGTTACTGCCGTAACGCTGCAATTGCGCTACAGTTTACTAAATCAAAAGAGAAACTCCAGAATATTTTAGCCAACAATGTCGTTTCATTTCAAGTGAAATTAACTTGCCCCATCTGAACAAAATAACCGAAATTAACAATGTGTGGATAACTGGTCTGTTTAGTTATAATCGATGAACACTGGTCTGTTGAAACTTACTGCTGCTTTGCTAGAGGGTTAGCGAAAACAAATCTGTGGGCGTAAGTTCTCTGATGATAACTTTCTCGAAAAAATCGAGGTGGAAAGGCTGGAACCAATCGGGCGAAATTATTTAACCTTTCACCCTCTACGAACAAATAAATAATAAATAAAATGTTCTAAAATATTTGTTACTAATAAAAATGCATGATAGCGTGAAACAGACTCATTTAAAATTCATGAACATACTCTCCACAAAAACAAAAATGTAAAAAATTGACAGTCGATCCATTAAGGGATTTTGTTTACAGTTGATTTATTATATTATTGCACACATACATTTTGAATAAATTTATTTATTCGTTTTTAAATAACTCCGTAGTGTTTACGAATGTGAACATTATTTACACACAAATCATACATAATTCAAACCAACCAAAAATATTATTTTCACAAAGGCGACCGACATTTATTACCTAAATACTATAAACTGTTGAATAATGACGTACAGTGAACAAATATGTCAAAGGCGATTTTTTTCTTTATCACCGCTTGTACTACGCGTGCTCAATTTTTTAAGCATCAACAGCAACCATCAATTCCGAGCACAAACAACAGTTTATTGATATAGTTATGGTGCAGTCCTCTGGTCACGGGTTAAGTCGAATTGCGACTCTCCGCATAATTCGCTCTTCGCGGGAGAGAAGTGCGTTGCTTGGTGTATTCGCGTCCGTGATGGTCGTTTTGAACATAAATTGGTTAGGTACTGTTGAACTAAAAAATTATATTTCTGGCCACAATTAAATTAAACTGTTTGAATTTATTTGTGGTAAAAAGTCATAATTTTCCACATATTTTTATGGCTGCATTTTGAATAAATTATCTACATTAATCCATGAAGTGCTTACTTCCGGGCAATTTTACCTGTCATTCGTGCATGAAATTGATAAATTGTGGAAGTGAGGTGCAATGTAAATTATCTCTAATGAAATTATAAACAATTTCTGTGGGAATTAACTGTGATTATTTTACATTGTAACCATTCCACTTCGACGAAGTCGTCCTATTGCAGCAGACTGTTATTAAACATAATACAGTATAACCTCGATAATCCGAATTAATTGGTGAAAAGTTGTATTCGGATTTGCAATTTGTTCGGATCAATGAACTTTCCAAAATTTTGAAAGTAAATTGAATAACTACTTCATACATTGCTAAGAATTCCAGAAATCAACCTTAATTTTATTAAACAAATATAAAGTTTTCTTAAGCAAAAATGGATAACATGCGAAAGAAGAAGAAGAAGATGATTCGAAAAAAGTATTGTCCCTTTGTGAAAAATTCGAATTTCATACTGAGTATTCCACAAATATTGTTCCATTACCATAAATACGCTGTATTTTTTGCGTCAGCACGTCGGGACCTATATCCCTGAATTTCTTGAAAATTTTCAAAAAATTCACATTTCACTACAAATTTTTCGAAAATATTGCTTCGTGACTCTAAGCATGCTATATTTTTGGAATTAGCACGTCAAAATCTATAACCCTGAATTTTTTGAGAATATTTGGACCACTCTTTCTAAAATGAAATTTTAAACACATGCAAATTTCGTGCCATTTTCGCGATTTTCAAAATTTAACTAAATACATTTTCTTGTAAATTTCGAGCCGCAGAAGCCAATTCCGGCATTATTTCTTTCATAACTCCAACCATTTTTCCAAAATCACCGATTGAAATATCTCAATTTTTAAAAATTTCAAAAAATTACCATTTCACACCGAATTTTTCGAAAATATTGTTCAGTGACTCTGAACACGCTATATTTTTGGAATCAGCAAATTAGGATCCCCTGATTTTTTTGAGAATTTTTTAAGAATTTTTGGACCACCTTTTCAAAATTTAATTTTAAACTTTTATGCGAATTTCGAGCCATCAACGATTTTCGAGATTTAACTAAATACATTTTCTTGTAGATTTCGCGCCGCAGAAGCCAATTCCGGCATTATTTCTTTGATAATTTCAACCGTTTTTCCAAAATCGCCCGTTGAAATATCGCAATTTTCAAAAAATTCGCATTTCACACCGAATGTTTCGAAAATATTGCACCGTGACCCTAAACACGCTATATTTTGGAATCAGCACATCAAAATCTATAATCCAGATGTCTTTAAGAATTTTGCCGCAGAAGCCAATTCCGTCATTATTTGTTCGATAAATCCAACCGTTTTCCCAAAATCACCCATTGATATATCGCAATTTAAAAAAAAATGAAAAAAAGTAAAATTTCACTCCGAATATTTTGAAAATATTGCTCCCTGGGCCTAAACACGCTATATTTTTGGAATCGGCATGACAAGATCTACAACCCTGAATTTTTTGAGAATTAGTGGACGACTTTTTGAAAAATCAATTTTTCGAACGAAGAAATAGGTCTCCCGTTTCCGTTTGTCTGTCCGTCTGTCTGTCTGCCGACCCGGATTTTTATTAGACAGATAATCTCCGAAAGTAGTTGGCCGATTGTTGTCAAAAATTTTGTATTTACTTTTCTTGGGGATGTTTTAAAGTTATTATAAGTATGGTAAATTTTTGATCAAAATGTATTTGCTCATCCCCCATAAAAAACTGATGACGTCATCCCAAAATTTTGCTGAATAAATCCTATCTAAAATGTACAAAATGTTAATTCATTGGTCTTCTCTTATGTGTTGAAGAGACAAAATCATTCAAATGTCACTTTTTTCAAATACATATGCATGAATTTAATGCCACCGTTGCGTAGTGCAATGCCGTACTAGTGGTCCAATTTTTCCGAAATATAAACATAAACAAAACCGTTAAAGTTAAACAAGTACTTGGAATTAAGAATACTTGGTTCCACTGATTATCTACTTTAATATATTTCTTTTTTTTTGTATGTATTATAATGAGTATTATTAACGCGTGCAGATGATATTGCGTAATTTTTGTGTGTCAGTGCAAAATTGCAGGGTTTGTGTTCGAATTAAAGGGACATCGACTTCAACCAGCCGCTGTTCGAATTACTGGATATTCGGCTAATCATGGATTCGGATTATAGAGGTTATATTGTATTCTAAAATCAATAACAGATGTTTTCGGACGCCGAAAGGATAAATAAATAAAAAACTTGGATTGTAGGCAAAAATAAACGATTAATCGTTCGGAAAAAAGAAATTACAGTTGGCTATATTTTTCAACAGTAGTTAGTATTTTCCATATTTTGAGGTTATATTAGTTTAGACTGAAGAAAGACAGTATATAGCGCGGACATTTATATTATCTACATCGTGCCGTTTGATTCCCCGGACACTTCATTAAAAACTGCGTGCGATAACTCCGACCCTAATTTATTTGAAAATTGTTGCCCTAGACGCGTAAACATCGTTATTTATTAGGGACAATTGGAATTGCAATTTGTAAAGCGTTCTACGAATGCGTGTCCCCTAGTCTGGTCTTAACGTTGCAGAGGGTGTGGCAAACATATAATTAACACAGGCGAAAATATTGAATTAAAATTAATGCACCCTTCAGGAGCTGTCGAAAAATGCTTATGTCGTAGAAAGTAAAAAATGTTCGATTCAAACAACCATCAATCTTATCCGCCACAAGAGAGAATCTTGCTGTATAATTAACATGTCGTAAATTCCGGGCCTAAGATAGATACTGTACATGGCCGTGTTACAATTTTCGAGGTCTTTCTGCATCTTTAGCTTGACAGGTGAATTATGCCCGGGGATAAACAAAGGACAATGCGGTAAATATTTTAAATTTGTAGTTGGGGTAAGCTGTGACAAAACAAATATATTAATTAGGAGGGATGGTTAATTTTTTAATTGAAATGGGGACGTCGCTTGTAAAATTTACACCAGCCCCGATTGGATTTGCGAGGAATAAGATGAACTTATTAAGTTTTCATTCTTTATC